CCCCGCTGCTCAACCCGACCCCTGCATCCGAACGGCCAGACATCGCCACTAGTCCTCTTCTCGCCGGCACCCGCTCGCCATTGAGTAAGATATGCGACCAGGCGCAAGACCTCATTCGCTTATCTTCGACCTCATCGGCCCTTTCTCCGCCACCGCTGGTCGGCGGCTCCGCCCAAAAGCGTCGCGTCGAGCGACCTGGAACGCCATTGGAGTCGGGCCTGTCCCCTCGGCTTCGTTTGTTCTCTCCAGACTTACCATCGAGCAACTTGCCGCTCTCCGCAGCCCTGCTACCGAGCGCCAGCAACGGCTCGGCTCGCGCGCGCGTAGCAGCAGGTAATAGTGTCCTAGACACGCGTCGGGATGTCAAGGTGCTTTCGGAGGCGGACCTGAGCGAGGATCACACGCCGCCTTCTCTTCCAGCCCCTCCTAAACCTGTATCCGCTTTGCTAGCTCTCGCCCTGGCGGCCGAAGCGCTGATTGGGGAGGTCGATCCAGAAATTTCGGCTTCGTCTGTTGCTTCTTCTCGCTCCCTCAGCGGACCAACAGCGCTTGACAGCCCACATGTCGGCACTCCTTCGGCATCTAGCCCACTGCTGCCTAGAGGTCTAGCAGCTTGATCGTTGCGCTACCATCGACCCCCCACAACCGAATTTCGCCTCTCCCCATCCCGATTCATCACTTTGCTTACTCTTTTTTGTACGTCTATAACTTTTCCCTCTTCTCACTCTTCTAGGTTCGACAGACACGAACGTGAGCTTTGTCACACGCTCGTCGATGGCGAATCCTTACATGACAATTGCAATTCAATATGCTTTTACAACATCGATGGGAGACAACATTGTCCGGTCCGTAAGGATGCTAAGACCCAGCCAGACGGGCTTAAAGGATGATCACGGAGGCAAGACCGCCAAAGCGCGTTGCGCAGCATCCAGATTGTCCAAATTCGTTGGCGAAGAGTTCGTCGACGAACCTTGGGATAATTTGCGCTTGAGCATTTCCACCTGCTTTCTTCTGGCCGAGATTAGCCTCTCGGCCTTTTCCTTGGTAAGGTCTGCGTAAGTCGGAGCGACTTTCTTCGGTGTGGGTGAGGCGGTGGCCGCGAGTGTAGA